CTGCGTGCTGCAAGCTCTTGCCAAATGCTCCGCAGGGCTTTGGCTAGAAGAATGGCAACAAAATCATGCGAATTAAAAAAATAATTATCAGAAATTGTGTATAATTAGTAATTCGTTCAAACATAACAATAAATTTGTATCTTACATTTGGAAGCAGGAATTAGCGACAGTGGTAATAGCAGTTACTGTAGGTGTTTCAACAACAGCTATGAAGGTACCTCACCCCACTCCTTGTCGCAAATGAATTCATACGGACTCCGCTTGTTGACACAACTTGCCACGAACAGTACGTAACTCCGTTTGTGTACGCAAGGTTCGGTTCTATTTCGCTGAATTTTTACACAAGATGCGTTGAGTGTAGTGCCCTTTGTTAGAAGTATTTTCCGTAAAATAAAATAATTATTATAGGTAGTGCCCCTAAAAATTAACAGATTTGTTAGTACGCACGGTCCTGAAATCTATGCGTTACTGATAACGAGTCACGCACAGGCTATATAATTTTGAGCCTAATTTTCTTAAAAGATCGAATTATGTTATAATATCCGGAAGTCCTTCACCTCTAATAACCTATGGATGAATGAATGAGTGGATTTACATGAAAGCTGGTATGAACATCAATGTTACTAGAACCCACTCCCCATTTTTAATTTTTGCATCTTTCCGTAATATTCCAATATGGAGACCTTGCAAATTCTAAATCTAGCTTTCCGTGCGTTGGCGCTATTGATAAACCACCACAGCCAGATGTGTACAATTTTGTATGCAGATCATAAATACATCCAAAAATTTCGTATAGGATACGTTTCAAATGTTAACAAATACAAATATGGCGACGATGCAATATATTGAAAAACAAATTAGGAAAGTCTGAATCTGGCTACCGGAAACTATGCACAGAAATTGATTACTAAATTTTATATATTTTATAATTTCATTATATAGGTTGAGGAATTTGATCGAAAGTACTCATATGCACCTTAAATTCTTCCCAGTAGTTGTTTCCATGTGTAAAAATAAAATATTTTAATGTGGGAAACTCCTAATGGCGATTAATAACACGGCTATCCCGTTGTACTTCGAGGTCAAGAGCTGCCTGTGAGTTTGCATTGAAAATTAGAGCTGTCACTTTGCCCGTTACTCTGAACGACATGTGCGTGGAGACAGGCACTCAGAATGCCTAATTATTGGAGTGACGGCTCTCGTTGAGTGAACTGTGCCGGCCGCGGAGATCGTACCCATGGTTGCTCAAATACAGCCCAGAACCAAGTAAGTACGTGTGCTTGTTACCGAGCAAGTATTTCTAAAATTTAATCTTAAATTCTGGTACCTTAGTGATAAGTCCTCTATCAAAGATTGTAAATCATCTCAAACGCACCGGAACTCCAAGTCAAGTACCAGAGAACACGTGGTTCCGAAAAGCCAAACAGCCTACAAAGGTCTTCAGACTGCCTTTAATTCGAAATATACAGTTACAATTTAGTTGATACAGCTTTTTCCATATATTAAAAGATGCACCAGAATGTACTCGAAGGTCCTTATACAAAAAAAATTCGCCATATATGCACTTGTTTCTTTTGCATAATATGCTCAATACTTGAGTCGTATTACGTCCTAAATTATATACCATTTCAGAAGTGAGTTACCTAAGCCTATTTCTTCTGCTGAATCGCCCATTACGACCGAAAAAAGATTATTACTCTTGAATTACTTTTCAAAATGAACTAGCATATTTTGTGAAACCTTTGTTGTTCGTTGCTTCATCATGAACAGCTGATCCAACTTCTCTCCTTGCTGAGCTCGCAAAGGTTTAATTTACTCATTAAAACAGTGTCGTAGAATAGCACACGAATCAAAACAATCCTGACATGAAGTATCTAACATTGAATTATATTCAGTCTGAATATATGATCTATTAACACAAGAAAAATTAAAGAATATTTTACTCTCTTGTTTCCGAACGTTTAGTCTAGAGTCTTCTTCTTACATGTCCCTCTGAAACGTTTGTATGAAAATCATTGCGAGCGGCTTTTGTGTGACCAATTGATTTATATTCAAGTTAAAATACTGGGCTCCAGCCTTGGCCTCAGGAAATTCTTTGTTGATTAAATTTGCCTCTAGTCCAATGCTCGGATCGTACATTACAACAGCTCTCTAAAACGCATTACGCCATTTCCGATCCATAATTCAGAATCAATCTTCAATAGACGATATATAACCTATACAGTTGATAAAGATACGTTAGATAGCAAACGTTATACAACGTTAAATAAATAAGAATTTGTAACCGTCCTTTCACTCCTTACTCTACATCAGGACGCCCGGCTGGTTACAAGGGGTGGTCTGTTGGGTTTCGTTTTGGTAGCTCAGGGCATGGACTCTCGCCTTCAGGGAATATACGTGGTGGCTATGAAGGGTTCCAGAAGCAAGGTGCGAGGCGGTGGGACACGAGGGGATGTAGTCTGATAATTCTGTATTAGTTCACTTTTATTCTTTCCTTCTCTCCTCGCCGAGTGCAGGACTACCCGCGGTCGAGACTGCTACGTAAGTGAGTTTTTGGAAGTCCCTTGCTGGACGCACACCGCGTTCAGCAAGACTCCCCTAAGACTTTTGAATCTGAAGAGAGTGTTCTCATTGGCTGAGTGGTTCATCACCCTAACCTTACAAATTTGCCGCCGATAGCTTATTTTAAACCCATTGGTGGTTAGTGACTTGATTTATCCTAAGTCTTCTAACGGCTAAAACACATCTGGAAGAGCTTATCATCCCACCAAGTCGAGCCACCGATCATAAAATCACCCATTCATCTTGTCACGTAGCTGGCGCCAGGCAGTCGCCCGGTGGAACAAACAAGTCTCCCCCCAGATGTGGCCCGAACTAGCGATACTAACCATCAACTCGGGAAAATTCAATACAATTTGATTATAAATTCCGATTAAGGAAGGCGCTACCGAAACAAAACTAACTTAGGCACCTTTCCTTGCGTATAAACTGGAGTAATCGCCAAAAGTCCAGTCTAAGTCTATCTCAGGTTCGTCTGCTCGAGAATCGAACTCAGAGTGGGCTGTCACAAATTTGAAAGGAGACGGTAGCGTCTTATTTCAAAGTAATATCACGGCATTCGCTTGGAGTCACTGAGAAAAATCACAAAAGTTTCAGGGCAGCCAACATTGCCAACAGCCAAGCCAAGTTCGAACCGTATATTTCAACTCGAAGCCTTCTCAAAATTCGGCACGAGCAGGCAGCCTCGTCCCGGTCTGGACACAGTCACAATGCGTGTCAGTCACAAGGGTTACCATGTTCGGACGTCATAAACAGAGCATCACCAAACAACGCTTTAGTGAATCTGCATTTCAAATTAGAAACATCCTACAAAATACTGTTACAAATAATTTCATATCGTGACAACAATGATGGTCAACGGTTGTCCTATTTGCTAGTTTAGATATTCTAAAGTTTCTTACATTTGAACTTGCTAAAAATTGTTTATTTTTCCTTGCTTCCTGAATTTAACATATGGAGCTGGCCTTAAGATATTAGTATCTACTACCTACTATGCCATTGTTGATAGGTAAAATTTTCACCATATCAGCGCCTATTTGCGTCTGTATGCACAGACACAGACTTCAAATATCTTTTTGCGATTTTCATAACTTACACATAGGTTTAGATATTCCGTTACTGCGTATGTAACCACGAGCAATCAGCAGTGCACCATATCAGAAGTGGTCAAATGAAACAAAACTTGTAGTTCCTAATGAGATATACAGTTTATGTAGACGATGTTATCATTCTGTGTTGTGAAGTCGTGTACACTCGTAGGCAGACACGCTTGAAGCCTAGAAGATGGAGACGGTATTTTTATCCGAAATGCTGCCATCTATCTGTGTGTCTAGTCGGCGTCACAACCCAGAACATCATCGTCTTCCTCACCGTATTTAGAACCACAAATATCACAGCAGTTTGTCATTTGCCCAATTTCTTGAAACACTTCTTTTACATGCAGGGATATCAAATGGACTGACTTGAACCAAAACAGTATGCATTTTCGACAACTTATATGTACAATTTCTGAACAAAACTTAACATAAATCCGATGAGTAATTGAGTACAGCGATCAACTTGCGAATGGCGTCTGTGGCATACTTGAATCATTGGATGTAAATGAAAGCGAATTTAATTTTCTTTATCAAAATCTACGTGCTTAGTCAAATAACTCAAGTAAATATCTAAATAATTCCGAGAAAATACTAATTCATTAAGCTACAACAATGGATAACTAGGATACTGACGATAAAAGTATTTGTGGTGTTAATGACGAATATATTTCTCTACATTACAAAATGGGCTCAAAAGTATATTTATCCTCTTATGTAAAACGCTCATTAGAATTGCCTGATCTGAATGAAGACTCCACAATTTTTTGTAAAGTTCTCCAAAATCAACCTTAATCAATATCAGTTTATCTGTCCTCAGGTTGTTAAATGCGTGCGGACGAACACACACACGGATTGACGAACCTGTTTTAATAGGCGTTCCGCGGGGTTTCTGACGTACCTTAAATAAAAGCCTTTATTTGCAGAGACACTAGACATCTAAATTAATATTCATATGAAGCAAGTTCCTTTTCCAAGGACCTGGGGTACGTAATGCGCATGCGCCTTCACCTTCACGTCTTTGTAGTGTACAGTTGCCCGCTCACTTTATCATCTCTCGACTAGTCGTATTTTTAAACACAAAGATTGGGTAGATGGGGAAGAAACAGTGATATTTTAAAAAAATATCTCTCTCTGGAATGTGCAGTGAACTTTCGCTACAAAGAAAACACTTTGCATTATGTGACCAGCATTGCACACGTCCAACCACTTCTCTCTTTGCCATTTGCCGACGGTATAGTGTTGACTCCTTTTATACAGCTTGTTTACTTTAATTAGTACCGTTAATCTCAAACCCTTTAAAGCTCAGCGGTACCCATATGTGCCTGCTTTAACTACGGCTTTTAAATTCAACAAAGGTTATTTCCTTAAAGAGCGTTAACCAGTTTATCCTTGTAATGAAGATATGGTGTTTTCTTTGCAGTTAGAAACTAAATTTTGAGTATTGTTTATATGAACTTTGGGCTTCAAGGGGTTAAGAATAAATTAATTATAATGGGTGTACATGCCTACAGATTTATTGTATTAATTTTCTATTATTTAGGTGGCTATGCATATATGCGCCTGTCTGCTGTTATATGATAATACGTTACTGCCTCTAAACATAACCATGGCTACCATGGTGACCACAATAAACTTACTACGACGGATTTTGGAAGCAAATGCAACCAGGGCATTTTAGTTTTACGACTGGGAATAGTTAAGAAAACGACATTAAAAACTTTCGTGCATTGTATCACGTTTCAGGGCACACTTCTTTCACCTACAGCCATAATTCTACGTTGTACTGAATGAAATTCGACTCCAACGAGATGTCACATGACAATTTAACAAGGATATATTCTTCATTTTCAATTACAACCTTTGCACGTTTTATATCTGCATAAATTGTATCCCTAATAAATTCTTTACTGCAATGACGAAGAAGAAAATAATTCCTAAAAATTGTCTTCAAATCTTGTAAGTTCTTAATGACAAGATTTCTCAGTTTTTTTAAAAAAATACGTTCCAATCAGACACTGCAAGAAAATTAGTGACAATTGGAAATGATTCAAACACATCTTTCGAAGACGCTGTGATCAAGTCTAATTTCATAATCACAGCTTATACATTATGTTCAACTTTAAATAGTTATAAACTTCCCTTGTAATGCTCATATCTAAGCATTTTAAAGTATCAGACGTATGCCACAATAGCCAGGAACAAAAATAATTTTAAAACTCACTTACTTGAAAAGTTTTATCATTGAGAAATATTCGTATTTAATCGCCTTAATCAAACAAGCGGATAAGATAAGAAATGCGTAGGACTATAAAATATTAATCCGAAAACCTGAAGGGAAGAGACCTCTTGACAGACAAGGCGTAGATGCTACTAGCTGACTAGCAGCTATTAGTTTCTCAAGGGTGAATCTGCTCCAAGAAGTTGCATTGCCGATAAACCCTTCACGGTTTTTATAGGTCGTTATTCACGCACCGACATATAAAAACGCTTGTGTTGTTTTCACCCTACATTTGCATGACCGCCATACTGGCATTAATGACAGGCCTGCATAAAGTACAAAAATGGGCAGTTCTTGAACGACATGAAATTGCTGCCTATAACAACGTCAAAATGGATAACGACACTAAATGGGATGGGGTAGTTCTGTCTGCCACGTGTAGACTGTCCGGGGTTGAAGATTCTTCTGGGTTGTTTCCCCTTCTAGTCTGGTAGGAGTTTATCGACGTTTCAGAGGTCCTTGCTGCTTCCACCATCAGAGCCCTGATAGAGGCAGCAATGATCTCTGAAACGTCGGTAAACTTCTACGAGACTATACGGCGCAACAACCCAGAAGACAGCCATCTTCAGATTCACCGCCGTGAAAACCTTAATTCCTAATGTCGGGCTGACTGGACTCGGAAGGCTCCAAGTACGAATTCCCGATTCTGATAGGTTTCTTATAATTTATCACGGCTAACAGAGGTAAGTGGTGCGACAGTACTTTGAAATACACCACGACCTCTTCCTTAACTATTCTTTCCATTTCGCCATTCATAATCATCCTCTACTGTAGGTGAGATTTTAAATGCTCACAGCGGCGAGTATGAAGATGACTGTCTCCTTCATCCTCTACTCTAATCTGGCAATGAATAAACTGCTTTCGAGAGGTCCGATTCCGGTATCTCGACTAGAAAACTCGAGATAATGGCAATATGGTACTTTTAAATAGGTACGACCGCCTATAATATCCGTTCAGGTAGTTAATGCAACTGTTGTTCCTTTGCAGAAATGACGTATAGGACGAGACATCGGTGGACAATCTTGCTAACTACGTGTGTGCTGGCGCATGCTGCTAGGACAGAAGATAACAGGTAAATGCTAACTACGTGCAGACCGGTAATTATTAGCTACTGCTTAATATTCTTCTATAGCCCACGTACAAAAGCCTCGACACCGCAGTGCATTCTTTGGTCATTAAATAGCTCCATGGAGCAGAATCCTTCTTGAGTAACGGACAACCGCTCAGCTTATAAGAAATCCCTTGCCTTTTTATAAAACACTAAAGTTCATTACTTTTCTTATAAAGTCGTCCTGATGACAATGAATACTGATAATTGTTCGTGGTTTCCTAATCCATTAAACACAAATTTCTAACCGAGTTGTGTTTTCAGGCGTCAAGTAGTCTCCAAATAGTATATTAAATGTTGGTACTGACTTTTCCCGTACTAATATACAACAAGACTGGCAAGGTTTAATCCGTACACGAATACACCGTAACCACGTGCGTTCTGAGCAAATTTGGAATTCTGTATGTCCCTAGCTCAAATAAAATTAATACCATAACATACATAGGCTCTAATAAGCAAAACATCACCATCAGTATAATTCACATAAGCGCAAAAATAGGTTGAAGGAGATGTAGAAACGTAAGCTTGCCTCTTCAACACAAAATTTATTTAGACTGTTACCTACTTATTTCCCATCTAACAAAAGAAGCCACATAATTGCCAACTAAAATATAAACATACATTTTGATCGTCCATTACTTCTCTAATTATTCAACTGTTTATCGGAAACGGACTACTGAGAGAACAGAAGAGATTTAGAGGGCCTTGACTTCAAAAATATAATGTGTTCTTGATATCTTCTAAAGTAATGTAAATCAATAACAATACGGAAGAATGACAGCTCTGTGGCAACGAATTAGAATTCTTCACATGTGTTTATGGAGCTGAATCCCAGCCAAATCAGATTTCGTTTGTTGCGTGTAGCCGCCATGTCCTCAGTTTAGATTATACAAGGAATTACTATACAACAGTTCTAAAGTTTAAAAAATGCATTTCACAAGTTCGTTCGCTCGTTCGCCATGTTGTATTACCAATGGTTGGAAATTTAAAAAGTACGATTTTGGAGAGAGCCCCGTAGTTATAAAATTCATACCAAATTTCATCCAAATCCTTCCAGTGGTTCTCGAGTTGAATCATGGAGACAGAAGTACGGACGGACAGACAGACATAGTAAGCCTAAAAGAAGTCAATTTCGTGCGCGTAGTGCAAAGACGGGAAATAAAATTATTATTGTTGTTGTTTCTATTTTCACAGACCAGGTACGAGGTTGCCGAACACGGATTTCTTTTACAACCTCCAGAATTATAATACCGCAAGCGATCACCTGGCGTCAGCCCAACAAACAATTTCAAAGGACATTGAAAACCACACTGGAAGAACCGATGGGAAGCAAAACGCTGATGGTTACAGCAAAGCGGAGAGTAGGGAAAAGGTTTCAACCCATGCATTACAAAACGACAGATTCTTGAGAGAATATGGAATACACAATGACCACACGAAACGTAACATCAGAAGTTCTTACGAAAGCCGGTCATTTGGATTTCACAGAGGTCGAGAAGGTGTTAGGAATAAAGACAGAATTGTGCATAGAAGAAACGGATGTTCAGGGAGAAAGTATGGAACTGGAGAACGCAAAACAGAGGAAGGAGAAAATTGTCATGACAATGCTAGTCCCTCAGACTTCGAGAATTTTAAAAGGGAAAGTTCGTCCAGAATTTCTTCAAATCCAGTACAGGAGTCACACGACATATACACCACCCAAATAGAAAACTACCCCGTTCGTGACAAGTTGGAAGTGACGGCTCAGCAAGAAACCCGATTCGGATCAATTAACTCAGATAGAAGACCCAGCAGCGGACCTCAAAGAAGTGGAAGAAATGAAAACTACAGGACCGATTTGGTTCGGTATAGAGACACTGACTCTAGCCAACCAGTTGAAACAAAAGATGAGGTACAAAGTCTCGGACAGGAAGGCAGAGGTTTTGACAATGGTGACGTTTTACGAAATGGCCGTCAGACCATGGAAGGAAGCGACGAGACACGTGAAGGTGAGGTGTCTCAACCAGTGGAGCCCAATGCTGTGGCGGAACCCCGGCAAAGAGACGCAGTGTCAAGCTACTACGACTTTCTGATAAATGAGGGATCCTACAAATTCTGGGCCGTGTTCCAAGTGGTCACTGCCTGTCTGCTCATCTATTCGGCCTTTGCAGCCATCTACTATGCCAAATATACTTTCAGCATGATGGACTATCCTGACTATTTGGATGAAGGTTTCTTTTTCAAACGCTCAGGGGAAGCTTATATCACCACCACAACAGCCAAACCTTCTTCATACTCTTTCTTAGGTTTATCTCCACAAACATTCCAAAGGATAATGAACGCGCTGTCTTCCAAAAAGTATTCTTAAGACGTTTATATCGGGTGACTGATACGGCAGACTGAGACCTTACCCTCACTGCATAATTCAGTCAGTGTTTCGTTGTGGCTTGGGCTCGCAGACCATCCTGACCTCTCCTCGCCTCAAAAGGTGAAAATAGGAATCCAAATCTAGGATGGAAGCACCCATACAGCGGGATTTGCATTACCGATGACAAAGATTAATGGAAGATGATGATGGCCGGCAGAGGTGACCCAGAGCTTAAAGTGGACTCCAATACATGGTGGGGTCTGGTATACCAGAGAGTTAGGAGAAAGTTAGAACTCACTGTACAGTCAATAAATGCCGCCATAATCTTGCATCACCTCTACAGCCGAAGTAACTCTTCTTTAATTCAATTGGGGTTTTGGGAAAAACGAATAGTGTTCTTAAAACTAAGTGCCTCCACCCATACAGTTTTCTACTAGCAATTTTTACATACATAAGCAACAAAACAAACTGGAATTTCTGGACGAAATAACTATAATCTGGCATCACGTCTCTGATCAGGAAACACACACGAATTATTTATATAATGGGTTAGAAATCCGTTTTCAACATCCTTGAGACTGAAGAGATGCGACAGATGTCACAGACACAAGAACTGCAATTGCTGAGGTTTGATTCCTTCTTTGCCAGAACACACAGGAACGTGTGAAATCGGATTTTGTTTGCATTGTCACGAAATGGAACACAGGGCGCTGGATGATGCACTTAACAGTGAAAATCAGACATGTTTCCGTGTGCTGTGCCCAGTTCTGACGCCACAAGTCTTCTGGAGTACTGCGTGTGTGATGTCGCTCGCTCTCTTAGCATTTCCTTCAGATTTAAAGGAGAGTTACCTGGGCGATGTCATGATTCTAATGTTGGTCACCCTTATGCAGCGATGGTACTGCAAAAATAGTCTGGATCTTGTTTCTGAGTAAATAACAACGCCGTGCAGACCAGTTGTCAGACTTCAGCCCTCTGACTTGTTTTGTTATGTGGGATTGCCAGCTTTGATGCATCGAGCGGTAGCCACAGAAAACTGACACAGACAAATAAACAATGAAGGACAGATCTCTTTCTGAGCGTGGGGGCGGTTTAGTGAGTGGGTTAACTGTAATGGATAGATACCCGCAGGTATAAAAATGGCGACATTAATAATCTCCTAAACGTCGGCAGTGCAGCCTACATCTACACGGTGTCACCACCCAGAAACAGGATCCACAGTATCAGTGAACGACCATTACAACCTGAACTCTTCAGTATATAAACAAATACAAATCGAAATGTTGATGAAAATTTAAGTTTTGGGAATCTTTGTCCATGTAACAGTTCCTTCAATTTCTCACACCTGCCCAACATCAAATTCGGTGAAATGTGAGTCTTATCATATTGACAACACTTATCTGATATCGTGTGCGATTTAACTACAGATGATGTTATTGTAAACAACTATCAGCTAATGCGAATAGTTGACGGCTGCTTTACGCAAATAAATGTCCAGGCCTGCTAATGAGAACTACAGCCACAGTATACATCAGTCGTCCTGCCATGTATAATAATAGGCTTAGATCCTAGATAAGTATTTTTGTTAAAACGTTTAGTATAGTGTTATAGGCCTTTGGATGGATGGATGGATGGATGGATGGATAGGTATCTTCTGAAGTGTTCGATTCTGGCTGTGAATCATAACACAAACAGATTTTTGTTTGCTGTCTGTTCAGTAATATAAGAGAAACGATGTCTCAACTTGTAGATTGTCCGAAGAAGGTTAATGTGGTTACATCTGTCGACCATAAAGATGATTTTAACATATTTTGCTAAAATTGAGTACAAGTACTAATTAGTATATAGGAAGATTTTAATATTGGGTCATACTGATCTGCTACTTTACATGAAGCTAAATTCGGACTTAAATTTCTCAGTTAGAACAAAAAAATGTATCCGAAGAATGGATGGTCCTAATATCAAGTTTCATGGAAATCTATCAAAGGACTTAAAAGGTATTTACTAAATTTCTGTTAGATACCTAAGTAAAGTGACCTTTTTCAATTAACCAAAATCAAAAACCAAATGGCTTTCTCAGTACAATATCTAGTTTAGAGCTATCATACCCAATTCGATCTAAATCGCTCAGGAAGTTGTAGGATTGTTAATTGCGAGGGGTCAGACGGGCGGACATGAAGCAAACAGCTGATTTTAAACTTTCCAAAAATCACCTAAAAGTGGTTCATACAGAAAATGGGTACATGCAAAAAGATATAGACCTCATTAAGGTCTATAGCTTCAGTTTCTTGACATGGTACACATTTAAAGCAATGTACAAGGAGAATTTTATTCACTTCTGTAAGCCGTATATTATATCTAGGATTGGATAATTTTTCAACGGAAAACTAAGTTTACAAGATTTGGTATCTGTCCTAATAATTATCCCTTTCAACAGGAATGTATTTCTAAAGTGAATGAACTTCAAGGCTGAAAGGAATGAAAATTTATAAATTTACAATGAACATGCTTGGAAAATGTGTGTACTCTTAAAAACCATTTTTCCACTCCTCCAAACAATTCAGTTTACAATCCAACAATGACATGAACTGAGTCCGCCTGGGTTCCGAGGAAATTTTCAATGTGTTCTAGAATAGGAATTTTGTATAAACGTTATAGAAATTAAAGAAAGAAAATTGATTAAAGTTTACGGATTTCAGCAAGTATTCCTAACAAGCCTTGCAATCTGTATGCAATGAAGAATAAAAATCATAAAGCAACAATAAATTTCTCAATGCAAATACAATTATTCTTTACAATCGTAGTCGCTAGCAGTGCTAGGGTCTTTTGTCACCCATTCCTTATTCATTTTCATATGCAACAGCCCGTTTAAAAAACTTGTTCCTACTTCCCTTCAAACATTCCATACCTGCATTACAAAGACAAGTTTGTTAAGTAGAATTTTAAGTTAAAACCCATCATGTTCATTTAAAGTTTGTTTATGTTTGGTGAAACAGACACACTTTATTGTGGAAAGAAAACGGTACACAGACACTCTCAAAGCGAAATAAAAGGCCTTAGTGTTTATCTAGTTTGCTCATTTAGGCCCAGTTTCCGCTTCTCCGTAGAGATTAAAACTGCGAGATGCAAGACAATTACATCTTTCTTTAATCCGATTTTCCAACCAGGTGGAGCAATTTTGCATGCCGATCAAAAGAGGATTAAATCAAGAGGTGAGTGACCATTGCTACACTCTGGGCCTCCGGAATGCAACACTGGACAAACTGAACACTCGTGACTGAACGGTGCTACGTATAATTTAGTGCTAAATGCGCGATGGCCTTACGGTACTCCTTGTGCAAATCAAAATGTTTCCTTGCACCCTTAAAATTACTGTTCATAGTCACACAGCGAGAATGTGTCGATCGAAAGAGGTCAAATGGGGGGCTGGCCAGGCAGTACAGCTCCTGCCAAGGCCGATTTACAAATTAAAGTGACACAGCATGAGCAAACTTCAGTTTAACAGACGTCTATTATTAAAATCTTTCAGCCACTTTCTTCATACATACGTATTTTTACTTTGCAGAACCACTTTGTCAATGGAAGTTAATTATTGAAATATGTTACCTTACATTGTTGAATGAGAGATGTTAATTATGTTAATTCTGCCACTACGGAACAAGGAGTGGCCTTGGTGGTTATGAATAACTGTCAAACCCTTAGAATGAAGTAAAATAGACGACAAAGCAATTTGAAACTTATGGAAACTTGTTTGACAGCAAGGCGAGAGGGTTAAAATTTATTTGTGGGACAACGGAGATTTGTCTTTACAAAACTTCGGGAGAACAGCTTTACCGTAATTAAATAAGGACTAATGATCTGGCGGAAATGGGTCCTTGGGCTTTCATGCTCACTTTGAGACCTGCAACTTCCTTTTTTTTTTAATATTGTATTTAATTTATAATTCTTAAACTTAGAGTGAATGTTGTCTACTATCACCTATTCTTCTAGTCGGTGTTTCTTAAATGTGTCATCTCATGAAACCTCAGATTATCCAGCTATGTGTAGAAAGCCTTGAGTCGTCTGTCGGTTCTAATTGTCTCAAAGACGGGTTCACTCTCACTGCTAGCTATTATTTATTTAGTGTTCTGTCTGACGACAGGTCGATATGAACAGGATCCTTCCATCCTTTTCTCGGACTGGGACCTGTTCATATACGTTCTTGGCAGATGATCCAGAAGTGGTTTGCCATTGCCTTCTTCTGTGTGTAAATGGAGTAATTGTTGGGATGCCACGGAGAAACCGGGGAAGCCCCCGGAGGAAAACTCCGTGTTGCCTAGACCACGGCCTTGCCCAACACAAGTTATAAATTCTAGCTACGGCTTGAAAATTATAACTGTTATTTCCAAGTCCTTATGTAATGTTTTCATTGCTACAATTTTTGTTACAATTTTTAAATTATTGTTTTCAAATGTTTGTATTCTTATAGCTACGTCTGGGGGAAAGAAATACTACGAACCCAGAGAGCAAGGATAAATTTTAAAAGTTTCTAATGTTTTATACCTAATTTATTATCAATGATAAGTTTTATGGGTCCATTAAGGTACTGAGATTAAGTACCTCTGAAATGGCTTCTTCTGTCTATTATTCCGCAATATGTTAACGTAATTAGTGGTTATTACGTTCTTCTTCTGGCGTAATAGCCACGTATATTTCCTTACGTTTGTTTGTTAAGCAGCCAGTGAGTTCAGTGAACAATAATATAATAGTTCATAGTAGCTTAGCTACGGTTCGAGATCTTGGAAATCAGTTCTGTGTCCGCGTTTCTCTTAGCCCTATCCATCGTCCAAACAGGACAACCCCTTGAAGAGCCTTTGAAAAGAAACAAAGCCGATACCTGATGGTAGAAGCTAACTCAACTTTACGATGTAGTAACCATTAATCAAAAAGTCTTCTCGCTCGAGTTCATTGTTAAGGATTTAGGAAATTTCTACAAGACTCGGGTCGGTCTGTAGCATCAAGGAGGAACTGCCTGATCCCCCAGC